CACACTCCTTTGGAGTGTGGTGGGGTCTCCTTCTTTGGAGGTCTTTAAACGGAGGCTGGATGGTCATCTGTCAGGGGTGCTTTGACTCTATCTTCCTGCATGGCAGAGGGTTGGACTGGGTTGCCCTTGAGGTCTCTTCCAGCTCTATGATTCTATGAACAATTAAAGGGCCTAAGCAGACTGCCAGAAATAGTGCACATTAAATTGAGGCACTGCCTTGGCTCAGTGCTAGGGAATCATGGGAACTGTAATTTATTGTGGCACCAGAGCTCTCTGACAGAGAAGGCTCAATGTCTCAGAAAAAAATACAATTCTCATGATTCCCTAGCACTGAGCCAGGACAGTGCCTCAGTTTAATGTGCACTATTTCTGGCAGTCTGCTTAGGCCCAAAGACAGTATTTGTTTGACTTTTTGGCTGTCCACACTATCCTCAGCATTCTTCTCAAAATAATCAATTTTCCTCTCATACACCTTGCTCACTGTCCAGTTCATGTATCTGTACATGGTAATAGGGAAGGCTTGTATGATTCTAGCTTTCATGCTCAGTTGTGCATCTTTACATTTTAGGTTCTTTTCTAGCTCCTTCATAACTGCATTCCTCATTCCTAATCTTCTGATCTCTTGACTGCAATCTCCATTCTGGTCAATGTTTGATCCAAGGTACTGGGAACTCTTTTCTATTTCAATTTCCTCATTGTCAAGTTTCAATATGTGTAGCTCTTATGCGGTCATTATTTTTGCTTTCTTTACATGAAGCCTGCCTCTACACTTTCTTCCTTGATCTTACTTAATAGTTGCTCCAGGTCTGTGATGTTTTCTGCTAGTAGTATGGTCAGTGCCATCCCTACCAGGGGCTTCTAGAGGGCAGAGCTTCTGGACTGGGGGCCAAAAATGTGTGCCTGCACCTTGCTGTCATGGCACCATTCTACTTATGAGCAGAATGGTGCAGCACAGCTGGGGGGCATGCTCAGAGCCCCCCACCCCCACAAGACTCCTGTGCTGGACTTAGAAAACAGCTCCCCACCACCACCACCACCTACTGACTCTGTGCTGGACTCAGAAGGCAGCCTCCCAGGTGTACCACCCCACTGGATGATCTCCCTCTCTGGGCTGTCACCCGGTGTGATCCACAACCCCCCCACACCTTTAATGATGTCACTGAGTATGGTGTTGTCTGCATATCTTAGATTGGCGATTCCCAAACTTTGGCCTTCCAGGTGTTTTTGGACTTCAGCTCTCAGAAGCCTTTGCCAGCTTGGCAAGCAGTAAGGAATTCTGGGAGCTGAAATCCAAAACATCTTGAGGATGAAAGTTTGAGAAACACTGTCTTTGATTGTTAATAGAATCATAGAGCAGGAAGAGACAAGGGCCATCCAGTTCAACCCTCTGCCATGCAGGAAGATAGAATCAAAGCACCCCTGACAGATGGCCATCCAGCCTCTATTTAAAAACCTCCAAAGAAGATTCCATCACACTCCACAGGAATATGTTCCACTCTCTAACAGCTCTTACAGTCAAGAAGTTCTTCCTAATGTTGAGGTGGAATGTCTTCTCCTTTAGTTTGCACCCATTGCTTTGTGTCCTAGTCTCCGGAGCAGCAGATAATAAGCTTGCTCCATCCTCAATGTGACACCTCTTCAGATACTTAAACAGGTCTATCATATCACCTCTTAACCGTCTCTTCTCTAGTCTAAACATGTTTTTCCCCCATCCTATCTTCACTCCTCCTTCTTCTGTGTCCAAGCCTGCTCTTCTTAGAATATGTTCTGCATACAAATTGAACAGATAGGATGAAAGGATGCAGCCTTGACTGACCCCTTTGCCAATTGGGAACCATTCTGTTTCTCCGTGTTCTGTCCTGACAGTAGCCTCTTGTCCTGAGTACAGATTCCTCGTCAAAACTATCAGATGTGTTGGCACTCCCATGCCTTTAAGGGCATTCCATTGCTTTTCATGATCTATGCAGTGAAAGTCTTTGCTAGTCTATAGAGCACAAGCTGATTTTCTTTCACCAGTTGTTTAAGGATATCAGAGCCAGCATGACATAGTGGTTTGAGTGTTGGACTATATGACTCTGGAGACCAGGGTTCGAATCCCAGCTCAGCCATAGCAAGCCACACTCTCTCAGTCTGAGAATGACCATGGCAAACCCCCTTTGTAGAAACCTTCCAAGGAAAGCCCAGAAACGACTTGAAGGCACACAACAATAACAACAAACCCCTGGATATACACTCGTCCCTCCACATTTGCAGCTTTCACTTCTGCAGATTTGATTATTCACGAATTGTATTAATATGTTCTCTCTAGGAATCTCTAGGTCCTCCAGCACAACTTTAACCAAAAGTCGCCCTGAAGGAGATTCCCAGGGAGAAGACTCCACTAGGCATTGATAGCTCCTCCAGCGCAACTCTATGGTCAATGTCTGGCAGATGCTGACCACAGAGTTGTACTGGAGCACCTAGAGAGGTGTTCTCTCAGGGAAAAACATAGTTTTTGTTATTTGCAGTTTTTCCTCAGTCACGGAGGTGCTGTGCCCCTAACCCCAGCGAATGTGGAGGGACGAGTGTACTGTATATTGTACTCTTATTGTACAGTATTGTACTGATATAAATTATTATTATTATTATTATTATTATTATTATTATTATT